AAATCTCCTAAAAGAAAAACAGTAGCTGCGTTGTAGCAAAGAAACCAGTTTATTCAGCTAAAATAAGATTAAAGTTTTTTCTAGGAAAGAATGGGGAGTTTTATATAACGGAGTAGAAAAAACACATGATTGTAATGCCATGCACATGTGTGAATCCTACATGATTTTTATTCGTTCCAAGTCACACAAAAAAATATTATTCTTTAAAAGAGGTTTGAGTGGATGCTAAATTTTCTATTAAATGCACTGCAAAGGATTCTTTAGGAAAAAAATCTTGTAGGATTCAGGCCTATGCATCAAATGACCTATATAGCAAAAATTCCTAAGGATTCTAATGCCCACAAATTTCTTTGGGGATCCTTTGAATCAAAGTGGCAGTATCATTTGGCATATTACTACGATTCAGATAGACATGGGCAACATATTTAGGCACTCCCCAAACGATGCAGGATTCACCACGAATCCTTTGCATATTCTACAAGTGATGGTACGTAGTGGTCAAAAAATACACCAGAGATCGTTGCTTCAAGATTGATGCAAGGGGCAAATGGCAAACGTAAGGTGCATTGGCTGGCTTGGGAGAGGATGTGCAGAAGCAAAAAGAGTGGTGGGATGGGTTTTAGGGACTATGATGCTTTCAATCAAGCTCTACTAGCCAAACAAGCTTGGGGCTTGTTGAGCAACCCTGAACCCATTATGTTCACGTGTGTTTGATATTATCTATATGGAGAATTCTTGGAGGCCCCTTGTCCCCAAAGAAGTTTGTATACTTGGATAAACATCATATGCAATAGGGAGCTCCTGAAAGAAGGTTTAATTTGGAGGGTCGGTGATGGCAAGTGAAAGTGTGGGACGATAGGTGGATCCCGAGGACAAGTGCTTATCATCGACTGGGATACAAGGACAATACCAACGTTACACGGGTGTGTGGCTTGTTGGAGTATGTGGGCTCTAGCATGCAAATTCCAACTCTCGACAAGGTACTCCATGAAGGCAACATGCATGATGTTAAACAGGCCGTGCTGGCACGGAGGACTTTCCAGCTTGGAACTTCACGAAAAATGGCGTCTTCACAGTCTGCTTGGCATACCAGCTTAAGATGGACGTCAATAAACAACAGCAGGCGGGGCTGAGAGTTCTTTATCGATCAACGGACCCCCGGGGCGGCTAGAGCTGTGGAGCACGGACGTTCTGGGCAAGGTGAAAAATTCACATATGGAGGATGTCGTCAAACGGGTTGGCAGTTGGTGAAGAGCTCCAACAAAGGCAAATTAAGAAAGAGTGATGCGCATTGCCTGCGACAGAGAGGAGTCCATAGTACATCCCTTTTGGACATGACAACATGGAAAGCAATGCTAAAAATGCATTGCTAAGGCTGATCGCTGGATTTGTGCCACCACATGGTATACATGACCAGGTCGACCTCAAGCGTTGGTTCCTGGACTGGCTATGGATTTTCTGTAAAGTCAAAACCAAGTAGAAAACAACAACTGCCACTTGGCACTAGATTAATATATTAGTCCAGAAAATGATATAAAATGTTATAAAAATTATTTAAAAGTGATAATATAATAGCATGAAACAATCAAAAGTTATAGATATGTTTGAGACATATCAGTACCCAGGTTCAGGTTCCACCTTGCTGAGGTTCGACGGTCTTGATGCTGACCACACTAGTAGACTGGTAGTCTGGGTTGACGGCCTTAGGGTCGAGGTTGAGAGTCTTGTTCTGGATGGCCTTTTGTAGCCACTCCTTGAGACTAGCCGTAGTGGAGAGTAACTTCAAGAGTAACATATACATTATCCTAGACTATATTACTACCTTCGTAGTGGGTAGTAACATAAGTGCGGTGTCATGCAAAGCTCCATTTATTAGGTTATAGACTCATATTATATTGGGATATGTGATGTTACGGTAAGTAGCTAAGTTACTCAATTTGCCTCCCTCCTCATTAACTCAATGCCGCATAGGCATTTTTGCTGAGTTGGAGCTTATGTTACTCTTGAAGTTACTCTCACTATGGTCAGTCTCAAGGCAAAGCAGTCTTTGATGATGTGCCCGACGTACCTGTGGTAACGAACTAACGATAGAACAAAGCATTGATATACATGTTTACCTGTTCTGGCCGAGTCGGTGCTGATAAGGTCAATGCTCTGTCGGCGCGATGAAATCCTTGAACATGTCACGAATCATGTCCCGTCCGAAGATGTACTGCTTCTTGAGCATGTCTTGCATCAAAAAGCGCAGTCGAGCTTGGGCGGAGTCGTTCTTTGTGCCGAGACTTGGCATGCTGCCTTGTGATATGGAGGGGAACAACCGAGCGGCATTGACCTTCGCCGGGGCCTTTGCTTTACTGGTAGGGTTGCTTGAGCTGGTCTTCGCTATATTGCAAAGGCGTTTGGCCAAGTAAAAGGTGTCGGCATGCCTGTAGAGCTCGGCGACCTGATGTGATTTCTCAAGCTTGAGTTTGGTGGTTGCGACGGCCAAGAGCTTGATGAAGTCCTTGGGATTTCGGCGTGACAACTCGAAGGATAGTGCTGCTACATGCCATGAATGCATATTTCGTTGCCACTTTTATTGTATTGTAGGGTTTGTATCTGGACTTATTGTTTGTATCAGACTTATGTGTGTATGAAAATTACAGTAATAACTCTTAAACTGGTATTGAAATAGTTTACTTTCCTTGTGATGTGAAATCGTATGGATGTGGATGCATACTTACTGTGATCCTAGGAAGTTATGTTGAACATATCCACGGTCCAGATTCTCCTTTTGAATCTTCTCTGGTAAAAAAGGGGTTAATTGCCTTAAGTGGTGGTTAGCACAACATGATTAAGGTAGATTATGATTAGGGTAATCTGCTCCATTACAGTAACCCTCTAACCCATTACTGCCATTCTTATAGCTATAGTGTGTCTTGCTAACTATTCCCTCCGTCTGAAAAGGCTTGTCTTAAGTTTTTCCCTCAAATGTATCTAGCGCTAACTTGGTGCTAGATACATTCATTTGAGGGACAAGCTTTTTCGGACGGAGAGAGTAGGTCTTTATTTGTGTAGTTTACAACGGATTCAAATAACCCTACACAGCACACAAGCGATGGAGTGTAGAGGAGACCTGCAAGCAATGTTCTTGGTACTTCGCCATCAAGAAACAATTAGTTCTTTAGCCTTTATCATATGATTATGTGGTTGCCGACATGAGGAGGGGTTTGGGATGGGATATATGTTATGTGGATTGGGCTGAAATGAATGATATGTGTTGATTTGTGTGTGAATGACGTCCCAACAGCTCCCGGTACAGGGGAGACTTTGCTGAATTTTGTTGTAATTACCATACTTATTTTATACTAAGTATGGGTTTCAACTCATTGGTTGATGCAGGTTAAGATGTCACCACTCTTCTTGTGTCACCCTGCTTCTTCTTACTCCGCTTGCAAAATCCGGTTACTTTTCTATCCTTTGTACTATATGATTATGTTGGTTGCCACTATGAGGGTTTGGGCTTCATGACCGAGGATTGGGACATATTCTTGTGTGGGTTGGGCTGAAAAGAATGATATGTGTTGATTTGTGTGTAAATGATGTCCGACGGCTCCTGTATATTTTTTTGCGGAAAAACTTTTGATCTATTCCTCTTCAATCATGGTAGTATAACTGACCAGAAATAATAAAAATTACGTTCAATTTCGTAGACCACATAATGACAACTACAAGCACTGAAGCCTAGTAGAAAAGCCTAGTAGAGGCATTCAGAAAATGTTGTAAGTGGCGCGGACAGGAGAAGCCGCTAGTATGACAGCCACTGATAAGGCTCACTAATGGCGCCGACTTCCAACCCTTGTAGAAACCTGATATTACTGGCATCGGTGGCCAACACCGCTGATAAATTTGGCACTGTTGGCGCGGGTCGGCCGACGCCACATGTACTTATTATATTCATGGTGTCCGGGAAAAAACAACACCACTATAAAATATGACAGGATTATAAAAATAATAATTGTGTTGCATATGAAATCTCGTTACCTTAAAATTGCATTGCATACAAAATCAGATTACATTACATTATATAGTGCATTGCATGTGAAACCATATTGCATTGCATATGAAATCACATTACATTATATAATCTGAAATCACATATGAAATCATTGTGCACTGCATATGAAACCACAAGCACAAGGCAGACGTTCAAATCCGGTAGTGAACTTTGTCTTGTTGTATATTTGGACTGCGTCTTTTTAAAGAGAAAACTCACACGTAATTTCTTTTCCACCAAACTCCATTGGCCTCGTTGATATGTTCATTCTTTTCTTTTCCAATCTTGTGTATGCATTGGCTATATTCTCTTGCTTCTTGAGCACTCCCATTTAATGATTTCCTCAAAGGTGGACATATCGTGCCAAGATGAATCTTGTATTCCTAGTTTTCTTTGCGTAAACTAATATAGGATCCTCTAACAAACTGTGGGTTTTACTTAGGACATGGAAAGCTGACAATTATGCAAAAAAAAATCCGCATGGCACTGTTGGAAGTTGAAAAAAAATTAGTTGTGATGTGTCAGCATAATATATACAAGCCCACAAGCCACTCATGCAGATGGTATGATGGACAACTAGGGTTTTATGTCCGTTCCGTCAACCTCTTTGCATTTCCCTTGCCATATATATGAACCAAAGATGTAGCTCATTTTGTCGATATAACCATCCTAGCTTTTCAGTAGTGAGATTAACAAACTCTGGGTTGTAATCACAATGTTTAGATGCATGCCAAAATACATCACCGCACTGGATCAAGAACAACGACGTGGAAGCCCAAGCTATAGGCACTAGACACAAGCCACCCACGCAGATCATGAACAGCTTATGTCAGTTTCCTTGCAGCTTTCTAGCTTTATATAGCTATACAAACCCTCCAGAGATCAAGAGTGTACTTATCCATATACACAACTGATTAAGATAGTACTAAATCGGAGACAAAAAAAGTTTGCGTGTAGAGGAACAATGTCGATGAAGACTGTGTTCTCGGTGCTCCTACTATGTATGCTCGTGGCGACACCCGTAGCGGCTAAGTACGATGCATGGAGCGATAACAGTGGTCCTTGGATGTGCTATCCAGGGTATGCCTTCCAGGTGCCCGCGCTCCCTGGCTGTCGTCCACTGCTGAAGCTCCAGTGCAATGGCAGCCAGGTGCCCGAGGCTGTCGTAAGGGACTGCTGCCAGCAGCTCGCCAACATCAGCGAGTGGTGTAGGTGCGATGCCCTCTACAACATGTTGGATAGCATGTATAAGGAGCATGGCGCGCAGGAGGGACAGGCGGGGACAGGAGCGTTCCCACGCTGCCGGAGGGAGGTGGTGAAGCTGACGGCGGCGAGCATCACGGCGGTCTGCAAGCTACCCATCGTCATTGATGCGTCGGGAGGTAGAGCGTATATCTGCAAGGATGTGGCCACATACCGGGACGCCTAGTTAAGCGAATGAGTAGCTACTATGTTGTGGCATGCATCTGCCCCTTAATTTGTGGGTGCGCACAAGCTAAATGAAATGGTGTGTATGCCTATGCGAAATGCATCGTTGATGAATAAAAGTGAAGTTCCCTATTGATGAGAATTTGTTTCCCAACAGCAGGACTCTGCTACATATTAATTTTTCAAATAAACGATACAAGGTCTTCAGAAGAAAACAGAAAACATCAAAGAAAAGGCTACACAGAAGACAAAGAAGAAGACAAAAAGCTATACAGGAGGGCTATACAAGGCAAAAATATGAAAACAGAGCAATGATCGAGAAATTTCAATCCAACGTACAAAAGAATAAGTAGACGCATCCCCTGTGATCGATCTAGTGGAGCCTTTGGCTATACTGCAGCCAGGTGTTGTTGTAAGAGTGGCATTTCGGTGCTGGTAGAGGGCGTTCCGGCGTTGCATCAGCTAGTACTCCCTCCGTTCCAAATTATTTGTCGTGGTTTTAGTTCAAATTTGAACTAAAACCACGACAAGTAATTTGGAACGGAGGGAGTAATATGCACAGACTAAAGGAGGGATAAATTCGCTAGCACCAGTGCAAAATGATGTTACAGTTGACCATACCAACCTTACCAAATGTTGGTGTCACCAGAACCCAAGCATGGCCAATAGCTTGGCAAAACAAGAGTATTTGGTCTGGATCCATATAGACTTTCAAACTTTGGGTGTCTGTTCTTTGGTTGAGCCAAATAGCAAGGTTGTCGCTGCAGGTCAAGGTCACGTTGTCATGACGACACTAAGTTAAAATGAAGCATTAAACCCATTAAGAGGCGCTAGAATGGTGGACAACCAGCTACGCCATGTGATGCATGCTGGTTGGTCACGGTGAGAAAGTTTTTTTACAGTTTTTTTAAATGGTAGGGAGACTTTTTTTAGAGAAGTTTTTCTAAGTTTTTTTCTTTTTCTTTTAAGATGGTTGTGATTCCACGTGACGCGAGAATATTTTCTAAATTTTTTGACATGATGGTGATGTGCGCATATCTTTCTCTCAAGCGGTCCACAATGACGGGCCCCAACCACTAGTCCTAATTAATGATATACAAATTAACGACAAGGCACTTACCCGCGCACACATACACACACAACATATGCTTGTATCATCCATACTAGACACAGAATCAGTTAGCATATTCCATAAAGTACAAATAAAAGCTGTAACTGGAAGGAAACATGCTTATTGCAATTAACACACGGTTGAGAAAGTAGACCGATCAATCGACGATCCATCGCCAACCAGCTAGTCATCAGACATTTACTTTGAGTTGAGGAGAAGCCATCACAAGGATAGGGCAATTGCTTGATATGTGTATGTATCATCATTTCCTTGCAATAACCAGCACAACCAGCCAGATTAAGCCCTGCAACAACAGCATGTGACAAGAAACCACTCTTGTTAGATGCGACGAATTGAAGCGTCTACTTTCAGAGGATCAACCGACGCATTCCATTCTGCCAAAGACGAAAGTTGAGCGTGCAGTTTGGTTGGAACATAAGCTTAAAAGAGCAACTACGTGCAAACATGTTTGTTTTCAAAACTTGTCTGGCCAAGTAAAAATAACTATGTAACTATGGTTCAAGAGCAGACATTTGTTTTACTGGGCATAAGCATTAGTATGGCATCCAAAATGCATAAATTTTACTTCATAGCTCGTCACCTATCAATCAGAATGCAGGTTAAATGGCTGTACGTGATGGAACTGATTCTTCCTCGCATTATCTCCAAGACGCTGCTAGTGTCAGCATTGTCATGATAAGCAGTCAGTTTGAATCCTCTGGAAGTACCCATACTCTTTAGCCATACGTGAAGCGATATATAACTGCGCGGCACAAAGTAAACTACTAGTATTTCCGCATATATAAGCAGAATGGCAAACTATTATAGATGAATGATGGCAGGAGGAACCCATCTTAACATAAACTAGTTTTAGGAAAACTGAACTGTGAATCCATTAAACATGCATAAGCACAACAATACTCAGCAATAGATGGTGCACAGATGGATCCCCATCCAGCATAGACATTCCCTCCTTTTCACCTATTAGATTTAGAGTAATGCCTCTTCAATAAGATTCCCCACTCCTATTAGCTTTCAACATGGGCACACTGTTTATTTTGGACCTGTCTTCTGTATTTGTGGGTAATTTTGTTAAATAATATAAAATCAGTTTTAGTGTTAGTTATGATGAAAGGTGGTGCTTGCTACTACTGATGTCACTAATACCCTGTCTTTACACAATTTAATCTTGTTGCAAAGATATTAGTTAATGCAACAAATTGGGAATGGCATGAGCATGTTCAGGACAAAGACCTATTGAAAGCCAAGGGGTTAACAAAAAGAAACTAAAAGTGGAACAAGATAGTGTTATCAATGTACATGATAGTATGTAACAAAGAAAACACTACATGTCCAAATCCAGCTTAATCAAGCATTATAAAAGCAACCCCACTAGAGCAGCACAGGGAGGAACTCTAACCCCTTCCCAACCCGCTGCCACTCAGTCCCCTCCCCGCCGCCAAAGGGCGCCGCCAGGCAAAGTTTGTGCGGTGGCGTCGGCATGGCCGTCCCACAGTGGTCGTCTCACTTGTGTTGCTACTGCTCGTGTGCCGGCAACGGAGGTAGCGCCTCCGGTATTCCACTAGTAGAAAAACGGCCTAATGTGAAGCACATTAGTACCGGTTTGTAACAAAACCGGCAGTAATGTTGCCATTAGCGCCGGTTCGAACGGCTAGGCGGTCGGAGAAAATTAGTACCGGTTCTTGGCGAACTTATAGTACTGGTTCGTGCCACGAACCGGTACTAAGAGCATCTCCAACAGCCGCGCTAAGCGCCGCGCGCAAAAAACCTGTTTGCCGCCCGCGCTTCGGCTAGTTTAGCGCGCCCGCCTGCGCTGGCTCCAGCAGCCGCGCTATAATGCAGCGCGCGCGCGCCGCTCCAGCAGAGCGCAAAAATACAGCGCGCGCGCGCGCCGCACAAACCACATAACCGAACCACCATGCTTCGGTTTTTTTATATGCATAGCTAGGATCATTGCAAGATCCTCCTCCTCTTCCATATCAAATTCTTCTTCGGAAGAATCATACGACGAACTCATCTACAATGTTCAATACTATACTAAAAACTACAATTCAAAACATGCATCAAATTCATGAAGTTTGAGCAATACATACCTTGTAGGCGTTTTGTCAAACACCTTGCGGGCGCGGCGCGGCGCGGCAGCGAGCGCTCGGGCGCTGTTCCTCGGACGACGGAGGCGTGCGAGCGCCGGCGGGACTAGGAGGGGATGGGGCGGAAGCGCGGGCGCGCGGGGATAGGCTGGGGAAGCCTGAACGGTCGCCGGGGGGCGCGAGCGGCGGCGGCGGCGCGGCTGGACGGGGGGTGGAAGTGGGAGAGGAAGTGCGGGCGCGAGCGCTGGAGTGTGCCGCGCGCTGCAGCGGGCGCCCGAAATACACCGCGCGGCTAAGTGTTTTCGACCGCGCGCCCAACCCGTTATAGCGCGCGCGCGGTTTTTGCGCGCCCGCTGGAGCGACCCGCCGAGTTGCGCGCGCGCTAAAATGGCCTAATTTGCGGCGTGGCGCTAGTTTAGCGCGGCTATTGGAAATGCTCTAAAGAGGCTATGGCACGCTGTGGTCCGGATGGGGCCCCACTAGCACATTTAGCACCGGTTCTCACCACAAACCGGTACTAGAGGTTTTTAGTTGCAGCGGTTTTTTAGTCCCACCTCGCTTCGCTAACAGGGTTTTTACAACCTTAAATATGTTACTTCTCAAACTATCACTACCACTTAGTCTTCATTGAACTCTATGTGTAGAATTTGTGGCCACAATATGAGTTTTCTCCAGTTTCTAAACCGGTGAGGACTCATATTGTCAATTTAGATTATACACAAAAAGATCATTAATAATCAATGAATTTTTGATGTATTTCTCAATAAACAAATATAACAGCATTTAGGTACTATTTTAGTAATCTAAATGCTCTTATATTTCTTTATGAACCGGTGCAAAAAAGTAGAGATGGTTACGGCAAAAACTGGATGTACTTCGTGTACAAACTGGACACTCTCTTTCGAAGTATCAGAGTTTCGGACGAAAACTCATCTTTTACACCGGCTATTCAAAATTTTAAATAACTTATTACAACTCCGGACTTTTTTGCCTTCATTATGCACCATTCAAAGACACGTCGTCAACTTTCAACCCCTTTTGACATAATTTGATATTTTTGATGCATTTACTGATTTGTTTTGAGCCAAATGACCTTGAAATTGAAAAGCACTACAAATAAACTCTGAAAAGGTTGAAACTTGGCATGGTATCATTATTTCACCCACATGGCATGTGCAAAAAAGTAGAGATGGTTACGACAAAACTGGATGCACTTTGTGTACAAACTGTACAATCTCTTTCGAAGTATCAGGGTTTCGGACGAAACCTCATCTGTTACACCGGCTATTCAAAATTTTAATAACTTATTACAACTCCGGACTTTTTTGCGTTCATTATGCACCATTGAAAGCCACGTTGTCAATTTTCAACCCTTTCTGACATAATTTGATATTTTTGATGCATTTACTGATCTGTTTTGAGCTAAATGACCCTAAAATTGAAAAGCACTACAAATAAACTCTGAAAATATTGAAACTTGGCATGGTATTATCATTTCACCCACATGGTATGTGCAAAAAAAGTAGAGATGGTTACGGCAAAAACTGGATGCACTTCGTATACAAACTGGACACTCTTCTTCGAAGTATTAAGGTTTCGGACGAAAACTCATCTGTTACACCGGCTATTCAAAATTTTAATAACTTATTACAACTCTAGACTTTTTGTGTGTTCATTATGCACCATTCAAAGCCACGTCGTCAACTTTCAACCCTTTCCGATATAATTTGATATTTTTGATGCATTTACTGATTTGTTTTGAGCTAAATGACCCTGAAA